AGGCTGTTTATCAGACCAGCGCTGACTACTGTTAGGTCTGGCGAGNGTCGCCATGATAGGCTGTTTATCAGACCAGCGCTGACTACTGTTAGGTCTAGCGAGCTGCAGCAGCTGTCCACAATCCTGGTGGGTGCGTCGTCGTTCATTGTGCAGAATGTCGAATCGTCTATCTGCTCAGCCAATTGTGTTCCCCTACGATCGTTTGACAGGCTTGAATGCCAAAGATCGTGGTGCGCATTGAAGTCACCAACTACCATACGGTTTTCACCTCTGAGGAGCGCATCTATTTCAGGGTGAATCCTGCCGGGCAGCTGGTGGCGTGGGGTATATATATGTTCAATATTTCGTGCTGGACATCGCCTGAACGAATAGCAATGCCCTGACATTCTAGGGTGGTATCCCTGCGGTCGATGTCTGCTTCAATAAGACGATGCTGCACGGTGTGGTGCGTGATGAACGCTAAGCCACCACCATTATCTCGCTGGCGATCTAGACGGTGCACGTTGTATCCGGTACAACTCAACAATGTGCAATTGCTGTGCAACTTCGTCTCGTGGACTGCAGCTATCAATATACCATGCCTTCCTATGAAAACGGTTACCTCCTCAATCTTGCTCTGAAGTCCATTCTAGTTGAATTGTAAAATCTTCGTGTGCCTAGGGAGACTTATTGGAATAGGGGGTGTTAGTGATGTGTGTTACCGTGCCGCCACATACTGTGCTTGTTGCTACTGGGGCTGTTGCCAGGTGGTGTTAGTGGGCGGCGTCGCAGTTGGGGGTTGCGACCGAGCAGCACAGCATGGGCCCTCACAATCCCTTGTCCAATCTCGCGTGGTGCGCAGTCTTGAGCATGCCCTAAAGTCACACCAGCCAAGGCAGGTGTTGCGCTTGACTGATGTCACATTACGCAATATCCTGGACTGACACACCGCGCAGATTGTCGGAGGAACTAGGAGTTTTTAATATTTTTTATTGAGCTTTGTACCAAGATTTGAACATTGATTACGCAGGTTCGATCCCTGCTGAAGTCTAGAAAACAGAAGTCTGATGAGGAGATGTGGTGATCTCCGAAATAGTGCTATAACTTCTACCGCTTAGACTTTGTTGCTTTTTCAATTTTTCCTAATAAACAATCGTGGTACAAAGTTCAATAAAAAATATTAAAAATAAAAATTTTAATAAGCCACAATAACATTGACAAAGACTAGGAGTTGTTGGCGGTGGCGTGTGAGTGGTGGTGCAGTTGTATCTGTAGTGTGGTCTGTTGTATCTGTGGTATTGTATATTGTATTGTGTTGTGGTGAGGTTGTGTTAGTGTTGAGTTGCTCAGGCGGACTCTGTTGTGCCGTGGAGGCAGCTCGATTGGCGCAGCAAGGGGCCACTACGCAGTGGTCCCTTGCCTAAACGGGGTTAGATCGCCGAAACAACAGCCCTTGGTCGGGTAAAACCCGAGTCATTGCGTCAACACAACACAGCCACAGACAGACACACGGACACAACCGCCCCCATAACACACCGCCGCTGGCAGCTCCTAGTCCCTCCTACAATCTGCTCGGTGTATAGGCCCAAAATATACCGTATCGTGACATCAGTCAAGTGCAATTCCTGCCTTGGCGGGTGAAACTTTAATGCATTTTCAGGACTGCGCACCAAGCGAGATTAGTTGAGCGAGTGTGTGGGCCCCTGCTGTGCTGCTCGGTCGCAAACTCTCCCCGCGACGCTGCACACTAGCACCACAGCAACAACACTGTTGAACTATGCCGGATACAAATTGGACCGTCGAGATCGCGAGCAAGATAATGGTGGTGGCCCGGTGCGCCTTTTGCTTTCACCAGCGGTGTGGTTCAGGTAGTCATCGGAAAGGCAAAGCTTGCAATGCCATTGGACCCGGCGGAATACGCGTGCTGATGCTAAAAAAAAATTGGTGCTGTGGGAGTAGATTACCTCACCAAGGTCCTAAAACTGTCCATGGCCACCCTCACCGTTTCGGACATTTGGAAAACGGGGAGACTTGTCCCACTGCTTAAACTGGGGAAACCAGCCAACAAAGAAGATTCTTATCATCCGATAACAGTCGTTTCACTCGTTCCGCGAAGACACTTGAGGCCTTTCTACTCACCAACTAAACGAAATACCTGACTCCAGCGAGGCATCAGCATGGATTCTGTAACATGAATAGCACAACCTGGTTATCTTTTCCGGAAATTAGTTTTTGTGAAATCATCTCGTACACACAATATTGTTGTCCCAAAGTACAAAACTTTAACGGCGTCTAGATTGTTTTTTGTTAGTGCTATAAGAATTTGGAACTCACTACCAATTTCAATTAAATGCATAACATCGATTGGTTGCTTCAAAATGGNGCCATAAACACTCAGGTAACTCGTGACCCAAACCGAATTCGGCCCTGTGAGAGAACGGTCCTAGTAGCGTTAAATCTGTCAAACCATTAAACCAAGAAAAATTAAACGGGTCTCACAGGGCGGTGCCCTTTCCCCGCTTCTGTTTAATAAATACATTTCAAAGCTCAGTCAGCCACCAGCGAAGTCTATTATTTCTGATGCTGACGACTGCAGGATAATGGCGTCCGAGAATGGAATTTATGACTTGAAAGTAAACTTTTACCACTCCGAACTTTCTCACTTGTTCACTGCGAGGAGTTTAATCCAGTGGTGCCAGCGCTGGCAGAGCTCCCAATAAAAGCGCAATATTTTTGTATCAGTAAGTGTGTACTCAACAAAACAGCTTGTGCATGCGATGCTTACAGCATGAAGTACAAACGCAAACTGATTTGCGGCCAACGTCGCGACAGTTCGCTAGCTGTGCACACACGATCTGTAGATGAAAGCCAAGCAACCCCATACGGCTCCGGTCTGCATCACTGGTTCAATCCTCTCCCTACGAAGTCCTCGGCAACCCCTCTTAGACTACTCGCGTCGATGGTGTACTAATTCCGACGGTGAATAACCCTAAAATACTCAGTTACCTTCGATAGTCTGCTCTCCTTCTCGGCGCATACAATCGCAATTGGCAATAGCGTACAAGTCGCAACAAGGTTCTCAAGTCGCTAGCCGGCAGCACCTGCGGCAAAGGCAAAGAAACATTGCTGGCAACATACAAGGCAATTGGCCGGCCGGTTCTAAATTATACAGCGTTCATGTGGCCGCCGGAGACCAGCAGGACGCAGTGGACGAGACCAAATACTTGCCAAAATACGGCACTCCGGACAGCCATTGGATGTCTTCTGCTGCCGTCTCACCATCACCGATACAACGTGGCCCAAATACTCCCTGTGAGGGAGGGTAAAGGTAAGTAAGTAATTCCTAGCAGGGGGCACATACGAAGGCACCCGAACAGACACTTTTTTGCCACAGAGCTTTCCACTAGGCATGTGAGAAGGAATCTATACGAACTAACGGACGAAGCCCAGAGGTATATTAAACAACCTATGCACCCGAAAGGGCCCGACAGAGCTTCGTCTGCCTCGGGAGACTCGCACCACCTTCACTCTGCTCCAGCAGGCTAAAGTCCTACCTGAGTAGGATAAATCTGGATATACCCAATGAGTGTCCGGCATGCGGAGAGTCACCTGATGACTCGTAACACCTTTTCTCATGTCCCCTAAAACCCACTCAACTAACGCCCCCCAAACCCACTTGGAGTAAATCAATTCCTGGGTCTCCCGTGTCTCCCGTTTGTTGAGCTTGACGACAACGATTGAGCGATAAGCCGATCTAGGTAGGGCTAAGGTAGCCGCTACAACAACAAACGCTTCATACCTGCGACAATCATTGTAATTGAAACGACCCAGATTTATATCTGGATTGGCACTCCAGAGAGATTCCTTAAAAACTTTGGAGAACCATGCAGCGGTTGTTTGGTCTATGGAGACTATTGGGACGTAGTGCATGAAGATTTAGACGTGTCACAAGACTGCACCCCGAACATACACATCCACCGGTTCCAATAATACAAATTGTACGAGATCCTGGATATTTTATGCGACATTCATTGAAATACTGCACCGTATTCACTAAAAAAGTTTTTTGAAATATGACAATCGGCAAGGATTATCTAATTTTATTTGGTCTCCATTTCTTCAAAGCTTTAACCTTGAATTGTTAAATTTAATTTGGCCTCCCTTTCCATCAAGGCTTTAACTTTGAATTGTTCTTCCTCCCACTGTAGGAGTCGCGAAACCATTAGTCTTTCTGGCGAAATCGACTACCTCTGCTATCAACAAGGAGCTAATGATTCCCTGTTCTATCCATCAAAACAAAACAGTTTTAGTTAAAGTAGTTTTTGAATTGCCGTAGCAACCGTTTGAATTTTATTTTACTTTTTTAATTTGTTCTAATACAATACAAAAAAAAAAAACTAATTAAACACTTGATGACCAAATACTCTAGATATTATAACGTAATCACAGCGTTTTCGTACGACAAAACTATCATAATTTCCTTAGAAATACCAATTTAGATAAATATATTCCCTTGATTTAATTGAAGTATTTGGTGTAGTAGTCATTGTAATAGTTGTAGTCGAATTGACCATAGTTCTTGTATCCCTCGTAGTATTTCTTGAGTGTATTGTTGTGGTAGATGCTGACATCCATGAAGTACATGTTAGGCACGAAGAATTCATTCTCATCAATTGGACGGTCAAGTGGATAACCGAATAATTGGTTGTCAATGTGGCGTGTGCCGGAACCAATACCGGCAGAGTAGGTCGAGTCGAAGTTAGAGTTCTGTTCCACGGTTGCCTCGTATGGCGCAATGTAGAAGAAGAGTTGCACTGGGAAACCAGTCTCCCAACCCTTAGGCAAGATCAGGCGTTGTGGGAATCCGCTGTGTGGTTCGCTAATGTCCAATGGCAGTTCATATTTGCCATCAAAGGCAGCCATCACGTAGTGGTACATTTCAGTGTAAGTGGTGCGATCCTCAATAGCCCAATCGAAGTCCTCGGATGAACGTTTGATGACATTCTCGCCAGCAGTCAGCTCATAAACGAACTCATCCAATTCAACGAAGTTCTGACGGTTCTGCTCCAGCGAGATAATACGTCCGTACTCATCGAATTTAGGTCCGTAGAATGTGCGGATGACAACCTTTTGTGGTTTGTCAGATTGGACTGTGATGTCAAAGTTGAATGGTTTGTGGTTGAGACGCATCTGACGGGCATATAATGCCTTATCCCAAACGAATTCGCCATCAGCGAACACCATTTTGTCGTTCATTAAGTTGGTGACATCAAAGTCTACCAAATCGTAGTAAGTGACCATTTCACTGACTCCCACACGCTTGATTTCAACGCCGGGTAGAGCAAGTTCCTCTCTTCTGTAGGGGTGGAGTTGTTGTTTGTACAGGTAGTAGACGGTGCTGATTTGCTTGTACAAGCTGTAGAAGAGGGGATCACGCATCATGGTTTCGTAATTCAGGAAGACATTGGGCATTACTTCGAAATCGTTGTAGTCTACGCCAGCGACGAGCATATGAGTCAGCATGTACCAGGAGTTGAGAACGTACTTGTCAATGGTATCGATGGTATCAGCGTTGCCTTGCAAGTAATTGCCGATGTATTCAATAGCTTGTGGCTGGTGTAAATCGATTTTGTGACCGTCGCGGGTGGTGTAGACGCCAGACTCAATGATACTGTAGATGCGTTTGTANTTTAGGTCCGTAGAATGTGCGGATGACAACCTTTTGTGGTTTGTCAGATTGGACTGTGATGTCAAAGTTGAATGGTTTGTGGTTGAGACGCATCTGACGGGCATATAATGCCTTATCCCAAACGAATTCGCCATCAGCGAACACCATTTTGTCGTTCATTAAGTTGGTGACATCAAAGTCTACCAAATCGTAGTAAGTGACCATTTCACTGACTCCCACACGCTTGATTTCAACGCCGGGTAGAGCAAGTTCCTCTCTGGTGTAGGGGTGGAGTTGTTGTTTGTACAGGTAGTAGACGGTGCTGATTTGCTTGTACAAGCTGTAGAAGAGCGGATCACGCATCATGGTTTCGTAATTCAGGAAGACATTGGGCATTACTTCGAAATCGTTGTAGTCTACGCCAGCGACGAGCATATGAGTCAGCATGTACCAGGAGTTGAGAACGTACTTGTCAATGGTATCGATGGTATCAGCGTTGCCTTGCAAGTAATTGCCGATGTATTCAACAGCTTGTGGCTGGTGTAAATCGATTTTGTGACCGTCGCGGGTGGTGTAGACGCCAGACTCAATGATACCGTAGATGCGTTTGTGAGCGCTTTGAACTTGGTTCAACATATCGTAGTTGCCGTAACTTTGGATTTCGAAGTAGTTTTTGCGGTATGTGTAACCAATACCACTGAATGAAAGTAATTCTGGATCGTAGCCTTGTTCGTAAGCGTGGTACCAAGAGAGTTCTGGGATATCGCCCAAACCGTTAGCCAAGCGTTCCATGTAGTAACGAGACAGAAGTTGTTCAACATTGTACACCCACCATTCACCACGACGATCCTTGTCCAAGCCGAAAGTTTTGCCATCCAAGAAGAAAGCATAGTCCATGTTCAAGTAGTACCAGTATGAGTTCCAGCCCAAATCCTCAGTGAAGTAGGACAACATGGAGTGTTCGTTGAAGAATTCAATATCGCGGGTGTAGTCAACGGGATGCCAGAACATTTTGATATCCTTCATGAATGATATATATTTGTCGTCGGCCATAATTTCGTAGGTGTTTTCACGTAGCGGGTAGCTCTTCTCAGCAGCATACCAGTTCTCACCCAGACCCATCAATTTCCACCATTGGTAGGTCTTGAAGTCCTTCATGTAGAAGTAGTCTTGGTTGTAGTATTTGTTGTTCTGGTAGTAGACATCGTTGAACTCCTTCTCGTATTGGATGTACTTGCTCCAGGTATTGTAGTCGAATTTCTCGGCAGCGTAGATGAATTTGCTGTTGAAGAAGTATTGTGGGAAGATTTCGTAGATGGTGGGCAGGATGAGACCCTGGAAGTCATCGCGGTGGATGACGGCCAAAGTAAGAGCGTAAACGAACATGCCTTCGTTGACATGGATGCGAGCCCAAGCAACATTTTGTTGGAAGGTTTCCCAATCCTTGGCGTAGTAGAAGTAGTTGAAGAGAGCGTAGGCTTGTTTGTGGTAAGTGCGGACCATNGTAGAAGTAGTTGAAGAGAGCGTAGGCTTGTTTGTGGTGAGTGCGGACCATAGCGCCGAAGAATTCACCTCTTGGCAACAGTGCGCCCATTTTGTAGGACTCGTAGAATCTTTCCATGTTGTAATCGA